TCGACAACATGGCGACCTAATCTGCCCCGCAGTCATCGAAACCTAAAAGGTAACTTGTTACTCATAATATCGAATATTTACCAAAACACAGGCTGTTGATTCCAAGATAGAGTGTTTACATTTTGCCTTAGTGAATATACAGTGGAAATTCTGTAAAGTGATGAGTGTATGCGTGGAAATTGCTCTGATCAAGATTGTTAAAGTTTAATAACTTTGTGCGACCTGACGAACTATTCTAGTGATATCTTGCAACTATTATACCTTGTCAAAGAGTTGTGCTACTTACAGATTACTTGTAACTGTGCTGCAGCTTAGTAACCTCATAAATCTGCCCAATGTTTACTAGCAAATAATCACCTTAATATTTAATATTGTAATTTCTAATTGGTACCTCTGTTTACATCTGGAATCAACCAGAGAATTGAATTGTGAAAGACTTCCTCGTGTTTTTTCTGCCACACCAAGAGGGGAAATTCATCTTCTGGATCCAAATCCAGAGCGCCATCTGGTTAACGTTGTGATTGTTTGCTTTTTGAAGGTCCTTCTGCGATTTGAAGTTGGTGTGGATTTGATTCTCGTGGTTTGGGGGTGTTAACAGACACTTCAACCGATTGACTATAGTAATTCATCACTGTATCTCTTATGGATCCGATTCCTGTGCTTATGACACTGTCCAGCTCTTGATTACTTTTTTGAATCACTGCAAGCACTCAAGACCGATTCTCATTCAGAGATCAACACGTGCTGATTCTCCAACCTGATCTTTTGAGTGTTGACTGGGATCACTGACATATAAATTTATCAAGACCCCAGCAACTTCAAGATTACAAACAAACTTCTATCTGAATCAATACTTGACGGGGCATGGAGTGTTCGGGGTTTACCAGAATAAATTTTTTAATAAAAGTGAACAATGCAACTACTGCAGTGAAATTCAAACTATAGAACACCTTCTTTATCACTGCAGTCGATTCCGGACAGTCCGACAAAACCATTTCCCCTACAATACTGAACACCAGATATTCTCCAGCGACACCTGCAAAAACATCATTTTATTTTATTTTATAACCGTAGTTAAACAGCCGACCCAATTTTATGGGCTTACGACTACTCATGTTCTATGCCGTAGCCTTGTAATTTTGAACCCAATCCAGAAGACAATGGAACTTCTGGATCGAGTAGTGGGAGAAATTTGCCATCGTTGAGGACTTTTTGATGGAGCTAACCAGCATTTGCGTTACGTGGAGAGGAAGACCACGAGAACCTCCCGCGGTTAGCCTGACGGCAAGGGGCCTCTAACCCATCATCCGTCTACCACTGAGGATATTTCACGTCAGCAGTGTGATCGGTGCAAGTCAGATGCAGAATTCTCATCTCCTGAGCCATCGAGGCTCGCAAAAACATCATAATAGCCAAATTATCAAAATTACACAGGAAGAACTGCTGGCCCAACAATTAAATAACTTACTTCTACTATTTCCAAATACCGAAGATGCTTGCCAGAACCTTTATTGCTGTGAACCACAAACCTTTTAAACCTCCCCTTTTAACTTCTCATTTTAAATATTTATATTTTAATCTATTGAGGTGTTAAATGAACATTATTTTATACTTCCACCCTAATTTTTAATCGAGGCTTTTTTGAGTCAACTTTTAAAAGATTTACTTTTACAAAATTTTCCAATCCCTATTGATTTATTTTAATTCAAAATGTTTTTTTACCCTTCTCAATTTTTATCAAATATTTTTATAGTTTTTCTTACACCTTTTTCATGGTTTTCCTTTTAAAACTATGATTTTATCTAAATTTTACTCTTATTTTAATTTTTTTTTAAACTTTTATCTTTCACATTAAAACCCTTTCTTATCTCTTACCTTAAACCTTGCGATTTTCACATTTTAATGTCAACCCAATTTAACTTTTATACTGCAATTTTTTTAGACTCAATCCTGATTTTTATCCTCCATCAAATTTTATATCACTCGTAGTCTGTTATACCAGTTCCAGCTCAAAATCCATTCAGTCCTCTTATGAATTACTCAATGGATATCTCATTGTATAAATTTTATATTTTTTTATTGTTTTTGTTTGTAATTTATGACAAGAAAAAACATGTTTTAACTATTTATTGATATTTATAAGGGTCCTTTGACCTCATATTTCTCAATGTTTTGTAACTTCTATTGTTTTTAATTGGCCTGTTGCCATCTATTCATTTTGTAAATCTTTTGGTCTTAAAAAATGCCACGGGTGGGGGGGGGGGCTCACAAGTTTGAAAAAATAAATAAATAAAGATATAAGAAACAGGTACAGAGGGATTTGGCTGATAAAATAAACTTACCCAAAAAAGGCCCAATTGCACCAGAATATCCAATAAATACCAATATTTGGTGTTTAAACATTGAGGAAGGTTATTGGTTATAGAACTGAAACTATAGTATGTCCATTCATTTGTGCTTCATTCACACTGCTTTTTATTTAATCTACATAGCAAAAAGTATTCACTACCCTTTGTTGGATATTAGTTGAATTGTTTAACAGTAAAAAAAATAATTAAAAAATCTGTTTTTGATTGTAATTCTTCAGATCTGATGCAGGTAAAAAATTTGAGATTTAAGTAGTTTATTTATAAAAAATTTGAGATTTAAAAAAAACTATATTCCTCATTGATATACTTTCAAATAAATGGGTGTTCAAATTCTAACACAAATCTATGTAATTACAAATAAAACTTAATCTAAAACAGCATGTAACCTTTTAATAATTAATACAGATTTGAAATATGGTGATTTTAAGTCATGCAAAACACTTTTACTGATCCGTTTAAGTTAGAAATTAACCGGAACACATTCTTAATTTAAACAGAATAAAGCAAATCACTTAAACAACATATCACATGAAACAGCACAAGCAAACAGCGTTAAATCATTTTTTTACTATTTATGATGCTGCTGTTATGTACACAGTGAGAAAAAGCAGCACGAGACTGATGAAATAGCAATTTCTTAAAAAATACAAGGACTTTTTTTTACTAAAGCTGAAGTAAAGCATTTCCCAGTTAATTAACCTATTGCTTTCAAGATTCTCATAAGTTTTTATTAAATAAAAAACGAATGCAACAAATGTTTACCTGAAAAAAACCCACTGTTTGGACAATTACCATATAAAACTTGGAGGTCATCAAATAAAGTGGTCTCTAAACTTAAAAGTGTAAAAACTTTAACATTTAGAGTGGTAAATAATTTTTAGTGACAGAGAAGAACCTTTAGGTGCAAAGAGTTAAAATAGTGTTTTTAAAACTTGATAAATCTCAACAAGAACAATTTAAAATTGAAATTTATTTTAGATTTTGGAAAATCATAAGATTTTTCAATATAATTCATGAACCAGAAACATATACAGGGAATCCTCCAGGAAAGACCACCTCTAGGCAGTGACCACATCTTATTTAGGACCGCTTTTGGGAAGCACAGAATCTTTTCCATAGACTTTGCATTGAGGAAAACCTTTAGGAGAAACCATTAAAACCTCTCCCAGCGACCGGACAAACATCTGCACCAAATGCAGAAAAGGTCAAGTAATGAAACACGAAAAATATCAAAACAAAAAAATTTAACAAAACAAATAAGTAGATTAAATAATTAGAAAAAATAAGCATCTCGAATAACCAAACCTCTTCCCATCTTTTAAAGCCAACTATTTTTTATGCCATAAAATTAAATAATAACTTAAACAAAAAAACTTTTTTTATTTATTTAAAACAGCTTTATCATTCATAATTGGAAAATTTGTTTTTACACATAATTATATCAGAACGGATCATTTTTATAGACGTTAAATTTTATTCATCGATCCGTGCTTTTATGACGCCAACAGAAGTGGTATTTCCAGTTCTGCTGGCGTCATAAAAGATTGATGATAGAAAGATGGTGTCATAAATGATTTTAATTTCAGCCAGAAAATAACACTGGCTGAAATTAAAATCATTTGCCAAAAATCATGTATCTTCGATAAAAGTCAAAGTCAATGGGGGTAACCTATAGGAATGACTAATCTCCATCAATGACCATTTTACTTAGGAACATAGAGTTGGCACTCCCTAGAGGTTTCACGGTAATATGAAACAGCATAGGCAGACAGCATTAATTTTTTTTATTGATTTTTAGGTGGTAGCTGCTACTTACACTGTGAGAAAAGTTTTTGGCTATCAACATTAAAGACTAATAAAATAGTATTTTCGTAAAAAATACGTAAATCTTTTTCAAATTAAGCATTAATTTTTTGTTATTGATTTTTAGGTGGTAGCTGCTACTTACACTGTGAGAAAAGTTTTTGGCTATTAAAGACTAATAAAATAGTATTTTCGTAAAATATACATAAATCTTTTTCAAATTAAAACTATACCGTTCAGAGTTCCCGTACAGGTATGTTTAGAAATGTAAAGATCCCAATTGCTCCGGACATGACAAAATATTTTTAAAAGCGGTAGAAATCTACAGTCTAAAATTTGCAGATTTAGAGTAAATTTTGAATTTTTTAATAAAGGATCAATACAGTTAGCAAAAATAAAATGGCGTATCACATAAGCCTTTACGTAAGTCACATTTAAAAGTAGTGGTGAGAAAAAAAATACTACATAAATCGAATTTATTAAACCAACAATTATACATTAAAAGACTACCACTTGAAAATATTTATCCATTGTCCGGATAAAGCTGGCATCTCTGGAAACACCTCAAAATTAAAAATTTTAGCCTTAATCAGATTAAATAATTATCTATCAGTGTGATAACACAAATTAACAAATGAAATAAATCACTAACACGGATAAATAAAACATAGATTAAAATATAAAGATAATGATACAATTAGGATATTATAAGAAAAATCATAAAATCCATCGTAAATTTGTAAAATAAGGATAATAGTAGATGAATATGCAAGGATGATAGTAAAATTAGGATGTTATAATGAGAAAATTAACAACATAAGACAAAGATTGCAATGTACATAAAAGATTTTTATTTACAAAAATAACTTCTGTTCAATTTAGTGTAGATTTACAGAGGACATGCCTTCACACATCATTTCAATTTGATCAGCAGTAGCATGTTCTAACACTTTAATTGCTTGAACTAAAACTAATGTCTTCTGAACAGAAGTCGACTTAATCCATATCCTTCCATTCAATCCTACACAAACTTCAAAAGTGAGACTTTGCCCCAAACGCTTCAGAATTGGAGAATCGGGTAGTAACAGTCTGAAAAATAAAAAAGCTTCATTTAAAAGAATCTAAAATACAGCCCCATTCATTTATAAAGAGAAAATGAGAACTGAGGCAATCTAGCTAAACCTGAACCAGCTTAATGTTTTCTATTTAATATATATTTAAAGTTAAAGAAATCATTGTGTGAGCTTTAGTTTAAGATTTAGATGTGTACTTTTAATTCAGTTCAACCATTTTAGTGTGTCTACCACTACAAAAATACAACTCCAATTCACTATTATATAAGGCATGTTATGTTAACACTTTGATATATTTGGTTACCACAATAGGGGACCCAATAATTTCAGGGAAAAAAATTTCCCTAACTTGTCCAGATAATGCAAGAAAATTCCACTGTAAATCCAAACCATATTTAATGTATACCAAGGTATTTTTCAACAAAAAATTTTGATTTTTTTTTTTTAGTATTAGGTATTTTATCAAATATTAGATTTTGTGAATAAAAATACATCATTGAATAAGGATGGAAAAGAAGTGTTATTCTTTTAATCTATTTCAAATNATATAAAGTTCTCTTCCTGAAAAATACTTATTTAAGGACGTTTTTTTTTTCAGAAATATAAATATAAATTGACAAAAAAGCATTCTTAAATTTTATAAAGTTCTTCATTTTTACAATGAAAAAAAAATTTATTCAAAAGAATAAATTATTGAGGAGGAAGTTTTAATTAAAATGTAATTAAGAGAAAAAAGAATTCTTAGATTTTTGTAATGAAATTATTGTTTTTTATTGCAGTAAGAATTTTGACTTTAAAAACAATTTAAATTTTGAACAATAAATACTTTAAAAAAAAAAAAAGAAATTTCTTATTCAGCTAATAAACAGAATTCTCCACTTGAAATTAATAAATAAATGTTTAAATCATTATTAAATTATAAAAGCAGTTTTTTTCAACAATTATACTTTAAATATAAGAAACACATTTTTTAGCAGGATGTAATACTAACAAATTTTTCATAAATAAAATTTAAAAATTAACATCAGTTGGGATAGAACTTCAGCTATGAGTTGGATCATCCTGCCATACATTGTCTTTCTACTCATTATTTTTTAATCTTAATAGAAAATAACCTAAAACTTTGAAGGGTCACATTTTGATACAGGGGCAGCAGTTGTGCAAATTTTTATCTCCTCCTATGATTTCACCCATGCTTTTTAATGGTCCTGTTTCAATAGAAATGTTACAAAATTACATAAATTTTAAATTTTCAATAGAAATTTTAATCCTTTTTACGACCTCTCTTGTAAGCAAAATTTCTATAGTATTATTATCTAACTGAAAATGTTTGGGAGCAAAAACAAAATCCGGCTTTTTGAAGTTAATGCTGCTTGAGAAATTCAGCTGCTATGGCTAAAAATAAGTATTTTAATAATTTTCCTATTAGAAACACTCATAAATTTTAAATAAAGTTTTATTTTGCAATGTTCTCTTATCGTTTAAAAATCAAAATACTATACTTCTTGAATCAACATGTAGCTGAGCACTTTAAGTGTAGAGCCCTTTGGTAAAATCGTACTGAAATATCCCTGTTACTCCCCATTTCTTTAATGAATAACTGAAGTAAAACCATTTTTTTGACGTAGGAAAGCAATCACCTGAAAGTTCAGAACAAGGCAAGAACTCTAAAGCTTAAATGACACTGACAAGTTTTCTTGATGTAAAGTAACAATTGATGATGAAGCAAATGTCACACAAGCATAGGCAAATTAGAAAGAAAACCTAATCTCCAATATTAAATTATAAATGACTGTAATTGAGATTATACTTAAATTAATTATGCTAATAAATTCAACATTTAATTAATATTTTGCTAAGAATTTAATTTTATTACCTTCTGGCATATTCTAATGGAATTTGAAACATAAATCCATCATCTGGAAGTACACCAAAACCAACACTTTTTCCATAGCTATCTACGCAAACAAGTTCTGGTTCCATATCTTTACAAGCAGTCAATATTTTTGCAAACAGTATGTCACCAGTCTAAAAATATAAACGTTCTTTTCACGCAAATATATAAAGACAATAAATATTAAAACAAATTTCACAAAATATTAGATTTTTTTAAACTTATATGTATTATTTATGGGGCTAGGCGTAAGAATCAGGTCAGCGTAATTTTCTACTATAATGCTCTTTTGACTACAATTAATATAGCTGCTTTGATTAACATGCAAAAACTAGGCTCATGTGTATAATCAAACACCTTGGTTGTTGTCAATAATGTAGATTCTCAGATTCATGAACCTGGACTCACTTTGTTCTTAAGCCAGACCCTTCAATTCCTAAATCTGTTAGCATGGATATTGTTATTACAATGATCTGTTGTAAGAAAAATATGTAAATAAGGTTATGAATTACTTTGTTCTTGAACCTAACCCTTCAATTTCTAAGTCTGTAAGCAAAACAATCTGTATTTCTTATCAATTTATCAGTTACTTTCCACTTAGATAACTAAACAATTTTTAGAAAATTTAATTACTTTTCCTCAATTGAAAATATCTTACTTCTCAGATCCGAAAATCATTAACAAGCATTTATTTTCACATTTTCCATCTTGTTTATTATACTTATTCAAACAAAATTTTGTGGTACACTTTAAATGAAATCAAATTATTGAAACTAACTAAATAAAGAAGCGAACCACAAAATAAAATCTTCCATTTGGGGCTCAGGTTTCGAGAAAATAAATGTACCCATCTCAATAAATAAAATTAATTAAAGAAAGCATTATACACTCTAGTTTAAAACTCTTTTTATTTATGAATACCATATAAATTTATTAACATGTTTTTTTTTATTTCAAAAATGCTCATATTTCATAAGTGCGCAAAACTACTTGTTAAAATAGCCAGTATTCTTCAAAACGATGTGAATTGTCTAGGGTTAATATAGGGTTTGCAAAACAAAGTTGTAAAAAAAAAAGGCTTTTAAGATTACCTAACTTTAAAAATTCTTGCACTACATCAACAGTTTCTAACTCTACTTAAAACAGTTTTTTACCTTGATTTAATTTCTGACAACATTAAGGAATTTTTATGAGTTACTGAAACACTTTTATGAAAAATCAAAAAAACAATTTGCAGTAAAATAACAAGTTATAATTCTCATTTTAAATATACAAAATTATGGGACAATGAATAACATTCAAATGTCAATAATGTTATAATTCTCATTTTAAATATACAAAATTATGGGACAATGAATAACATTCAAAATAATAAAAATTAAATTGTTAAATACAGTTCTTTTAGAACTAAAATATAAATTTCATTTAAATATTTATTACAAGCAACTTCTGATATTATTAATATTAATACCAATTCATAATAATATGAAAGCTGGGCATTAATTCGATCTAAAGAAGAAAAAAATTCTTTGCTCCATTTAATGGATCCTGAAAGCAAAATCTTTCAACAAAAAATAAGCACCTTTTAAGTATTTTTTAAGCACTATATACATTAACAAAATGCAAAATAATTTTCAAAGACTTTACATGATCATGATAAAATAACTAGTTTTGACAAAGAACTCTTTTCTTGATTATATTAGTCATTAAAAAATGATCAAGAGATTTTTTGGTTCGATTTCAGAGAGTGGAAAATGAAGCTTGAAATTGAGAATATCTTGCAAAATGCAGCAGAGTCTCACATGAGAGTGCAATAGTCTCACCGAACCCAGCTCACTATATGCACACGCGGACTCGCAAGTATTTAATCAAACCTGCAAAATGATTGGCACTTTCATACTCTGTGGAATGACGGTACGCTAAATGGATTGTGGTTGAATGAATTGTAAAAATGTTGAATAAAACCAGGGTTGGAGTTTTTGCCAGCCTGGTAAAAACCGGCAAAAACTTGTAAAAAACGGCAAAAACCAAATTATCTAAATTGCTGATTAAATATTATTACAAAATACTTGAAACAAATTTAAATCAATCATAAGGAATAATAATTTTGATACATTACATNATCTTATTATAGATCAAGAAATTTTTTGGTTTGATTTCAGAGAGTGAAAAATGAAACTTGAAATTGAGAATATCTTGCAAAATGCAGCAGAGTCTCACATGAGAGTGCAATAATCTCACCGAATCCAGCTCACTATACGCACACGCGGACTCGCAAGTATTTAATCAAACCTGCAAAATGATCGGCACTTTCATACGCTGTGGAAGGACGGTACGCTGAAATGGATTGTGGTTGAATGAATTGTAAAAATGTTGAATAAAACAATGTGAAATTAGGCGCTTGAAAGGAAGAAAAAACCTCAGTTTCAAAAAGGGAAAATTAAGCACTTTTTAAAAACACCAAATGAAAAAAGAACCCATAAAGGCTTTTTAAAACGAAAATTGAAAATAAGTACCTTTAAGCAGTTTTTAAAAACACTACACACTATGTAACATCCATAGAATAATGTATAATCAAGAAGTATACAGTAAATATAGACTACCTAAACATTTTTAGAGTAATTAAATCATACAGAATTAGCTGGCTGTTATTATCTCTTGATGTAAAGATTCCAACCCCGAGAAAACAACATTTTCAAGAGCAAGAATAACAAAGAACAACAAAACAACATTGGTTAGAACAAGAAGAGGTCAGCCATACAAATACAAAGGCTAGACGCAATGTGTTGAGAAAGATAGAGGAACGTTAAAATCTGTGTTTGGAGAATGCAAATTATGCTTTGGCCTACACTTAGTTATAGTGCTGATTAAGTAAGGGAACCTGTAGCTATGCTTTTCTGTTACTTTAGATTTGATTACAATTTTTCTAGGGTAAAAGAATTAAATATTTTATTACTTTCCATAACAATGTCAAATAAGATATTAACAGATTTAATTGACATCATAAATTAAAATTTTTTTCAAAAAATATATCTTTTCTGAAAGAGAAAAAGAGATGAAGGTTTTTTTTGGGGATAAAGACAGGGATTCCTTATTTTTTGATCTAAAATTTTTTTTTTATTATTTTTGATTTCCAATGAGCTGCACAATCGGTCTTGCCGATGAGCAGACCTAGTGCGTTCTCCAGAGGTGGTATCCACTCTTTCAGGACCACCACAATGGGTGAGATATCGTTGGTCATGTTAATTTGGACGTCTAGTTTCTGCCACACTACATGGCAGCACCGAGACTCTATTTGGATTTGCGCACTAGGAATTTAATTTTGCCGGAATTGCCAAGAGCCAATAAGGCACTCCAGGGATCTTTTACATGCCACATAATCATACGACATGGCCGCTGAGGATTTTCTGCATCCCGAAAATCCGGTGTCTGGGCCGGGGATCGAACCCGCAGTCTTGGGCTCAGAAGGTCGACAACAAACCAATTGCGCCACCCAGCCACTTGATCTAAAAAATAAGGATTAGTAATTAAATCAAAAATAATATTAGGATGTAAAATGTCCATTTGTCAGCCTGCCATTGGTGACTGAATATTGAGGGCTGACGAGGAAATTTTGGGTTCTGTTTGATATGCTGAGTTTCAAATCATACTGCCATATTTTTCTCAGAGTCAGGAGTTTTCCGTTTATAAATATCTTAAAAACGCCGTGATGGCTCAGGGGATAGAGCGTTCACCTTCCAATGAGGTGAACCGGGTTTGAATTCCGGCGATGGCTGGTCGATATGAATTCACCATCCGGCTTGCACTGACACACTGCTGATGTAAAATTATCCTCAATGGTAGACGGATCATGGGTTACAGTCCCCTTGCAATCAGGCTAACCGAGGGATATTTTCCTCTCAGTGTAACGCAACTGTGGGTTAGTTACATCAAAAAGTCCTCCACAAAGGCAAATCTCTCCCTATACTTGATTCAGGAATTCTCTTGTCTCCTGGATTGAGTTTAAAATTACAAGGCTATGGAATTGAACATTAGTAGTTGTAAACTAAAAAGAAATTGGGTCGGCTGTTCATTGACCGATATAAAATGTATTAAAAATGGGAAGCAGTAGTTTCCGATTTTAAGAGAAAGATCGATTAAATATGTAAAGATGTGCATCACAGTAAGACTATATCAATAAATGTCTTAACATCTCTGCATGCTTTGAGGTCTTGGATTTGCTTTCCAAAGAAATATTTGCTATTTGGAAACCCAAATCCCTTCAATAAACAAGTGGATATTGTGTCGGTGGAAAAAGCAAAATTCACTATTATGTTCATTTCACTAACATTGACTCGGGAAGGTAGATACTTTATTTATGTCGCACTAGAGCTGCACACAGGGTGGCCACTGAAATCCGATTTCAAATTTCCCTGATTTTTCCAGGTTTTCCAGATAAAAATCTTAAAATTTCCAGGTTTTTGTTGCTTTTTTTCATATAAAGTACAGGATGTGTACAAGAACAGTGTCTATATTATAAAATATTTTATTCAAAATGTTATTTTTTTTACATATCATCTTGAAAACAATAATTTATTTTGACAATTTTCAAGATTTTTTTCATTTATTTTTTTATGTTTTGGTACAAAATTTCTAATCAAAAATCATATTCACCAACAAAAGAGTAAAATTAAATATTAATATATAGTTGGTTCTTAAAAAAACATTTTTTTTTAAAATTAAAATATGTTATAAAAGGTTAAAATGAAATAGAAAAAAATTAGCATTAATGCAACAATTGTAACGATTTGTCGACAAACATTGTTGTTAGCGATTGTAAAAAAAAATGTGCGATTCGTTGGTTTGCTGAGAAAAAATAATTCGCAGATTTCTTTGAATGGGAGTAGAAAAGCTTTCCGAAAAAGAATGCGATATAAAATCTATTATTAAATTATAACCAACTAATTTTTGGAGAATTTTATAAAGTTTTCAAATTAGGGAAAAAAAATTACCACTAAAGCATTGGAACAAACTTGAGCTATAAATGGATTCAGCCCAAGGAGAGAATTTTAAAAAAAGGAGCTAATATCCTAATCCCTTTTTCCACCTCCACCAGAGTCTTTCCTAAATTGCACAGTCCCATAGCGGTCAAAGG